TCTTGCCAATGGTAGAGTTTGCCATTAACAACTCGGTGCATGCGTCCACGACACATACACCGTTTTACGTGAATGGCTTGCGCCATCCGCGTGTACCCACCTTATTAGAGTGTAACTCTGGTTTAAGGGGGGGAGGGACTCGCGCGAGCAAAAACCGATTTGGTTCACGCTCATCACGCTCTGACGAAGAAGTCATTGCGTTTGATGCCGATATCGATAACATCGATATTGAAGAAGATGATGCCAGTGAGAGTGCGGAAGCCCTCACTGAAGAAGATGATCCCAGTGAGAGTGCGGAAGCCCTCACTGAAGAAAAGGTTGATGTTGCTGCAGTGCACTCACAGCGCACTGAAGCTAACGAGTCATCAGATGAGTTCATACTGGCTCGTGAAACGGTAGTCCGTTTTGTGCAAGACTCCATCGCCGAAGCGGTGGATAAGCAAAAGCAAAACGCTGATAAGAATGGAAGGGCAAACACTCTTTTATTTAATAAAGGTGACTTAGTCCTACTGTCTACGGTTAATCTACCAAAGCATGTAGTGACTAACTTGGGTAGCATTAAACTACTACCCAAGTACATCGGCCCATTTCGTGTATTGCACCGCCTAGGCAACGTATACACGATCGAACTGCCACGTAAGATGCGAACGCATCCCACGTTTTACGTTGGTCGGCTTAAGCCGTACCATCAGTACGCTGCTTCTTCCGATGAAGAACGCCCTTGCGCTCAAGCATCTCGCAGAGAGCCTTGTGCTCCCGGTGGTGGATATCAACAAGGGTCTGAAGAGCAGTTATCTCAGCCCGAGACCGATCAACAATCCCACGAGCAAACCTTAGCTCGCTACGCAGAGATATCAAAGCTCTCTCGTTCTCAAGCTGAGCAAAGGCAAACTCAGCTCGATGCTTCAAGACAGTGTCCGCCATTTGGAGACGCCTGTCCTGCTCATGCTCGAGGTCACCGCGCAACGAAAGAGTTACGCGATCAAAGAGGCTCTCGGGAACACACCGATCCACATGATCGTGTGGAGAGCGTCTTTCCTCCTCCTCCATCTCCATTGGAGGACTCTCGCGGTGGCCAGCGCTATCTGAGTGAGCGGCTGTTAAACCACCACGACGTGAACGGACGTCGGACGAGTTATCTCGTCCGATGGCGCGGCTATCCCCCGTCCTGGGATTCTTGGGAGCCCCGCTCCCAACTGATGATTGACGTTCTGGGTCTGGTCGAGCAGTACGACGCGGCACATCCTGTGCCGCAGAAGGACCGCCGGAGAAAGTCTTCCCGGCACGGTCGTAAAGGGTTTCAGGTTGTCAATCCCTTCGTACATCTCAGTAGAGACACGTACGCGCCACCACGGGCTGGTAAGGAGGTAAGCCTCCTTAGGTGCTCGTGCAGAGTTGTTCACACAACATGGGCACGAGTCTCCCCATGAGAGGCAGGGTAATCCTTTCTCCCTTGACAGACAATGCAGCTTGTAGCGTGCACCTGTCGGGGTTCGCTTTTCAAACTTATCACGAGCTTTGATAAGTTTGTCGTTCCAAGCGTCACGACCTACATCCTCGAGGTTATGGATGTAGGCGTTCCACGCTTGAAGTAGTGAGGGACCATCACGTTTGTGATTCCCACTGTACCATCGATGTCTAAAGAAAGCATCGATGAAGAATTCATGTTCAGCGCGATAGTTTTTCGCGCTGGGGTCAAGGTGATGGATCCTTGACGAATCGAACAATCGTGTTCGATAACGATCACTCGTCGTCGCCGACAAGTGATCCATGACAGATTTAGGAGGCATCCATGCCTTCTTCTCGGGAGCGAGACGCAAGACATTGCGGTCCCGCTCTTCCTGCGATGTGCTGACAGAAGTACTGGCACCTCGCTGTGAAGTGGTGTCCATAGGAGAACCGACACCACTATTAGCGCCCGAGTCTCGCGACCTCGAGCGCCTTCGCTTCGGCGATGGTTCATCTGATGAATCAGATGAACCAAAGATGCTGCGACGCAAAGCATCGTCCATGCCACGCTTGGCAGGCGGCTTAGATTCAATCGCCGTCGATACGGATCCATCATCCGTATCAGGAGAGTACGAGACACCGAGCTCGTACTCTGTGAAGACACGAGTGTCTTCATGACCAGCGCGTGCATCACCAAGTGACACAGGCTGGGTCGCTTCAGCAACCGATGAGACATCAGTTGCTGTTGTTTCTGCTTCGGCGTCCGCACAGAGACGTGCAGACGCGCTCTCGGCGGCCTTGTTCGCGCATCGCATGGACTTGTTAACCATGCGATGAAACTGATGGAGTGTGGACTCAGACCAACAAGTGCAAGCCCTGTCCCAAATGATTTGGGACGAGTATCCATTGAGTCAATCAGTCACTAAAGTGACTGATGGTTAAGGGGGGGTGATGTAACGGGGTGAACCGTTACATAACAATTTATTAGAAATTGTTAATAGAATGTAGCTATAAGAGTTATATTCACAGAATATTGTCATAAGGACAAATATTCTGTAGCACTTACGAGTAGTTCCTAATTGGTTGATAAAGGCCATTATATCAACCAACGAAGACGCGCCACGACAGACGCACGCAATGAGTGATGAGCAGATAGTTGATTTACACATTTGTATTCAGACATAGTTAGATGAGGATAAACAGTAGTTTATTTATTGCAGACATTAACTATTATAAATACACTTCTACTTTTTACTTTAACCAAGTACTCACTTCTCCTTACCGTCTTCCTCTGCACGTACCAGTGTACTTGAAGTTCCGACTAACCGCCTTATTCTGTCATCAGAATAAGTAACTTGTACTGTCACCAGTACAAGCTTCAGGGTGCCCCGTTACAATTATGGTAGACCATGGCACATGTCGATTACCCCAAGCGGGCACTACTTTTTGTGTATGGACGATGAGCGAAATTGTAAAGCACGACTCAAATGCACTTCTTATGTGCAATGATGTACAGGAGGTTACAAAGAGAGAAGAGGTAGTCTATCAAAGAAGGACCTTGGATCCTCCCGTCCTCACTTTACATAAGCCACGTCGTCTATGATCCGGAATATTCGGGTGAAACACCTGGTGTAACGGGGCACCCTGAAGCTTGTACTGGTGACAGTACAAGCTACTTATTCTGATGACAGAATAAGGCGGTGCCTCGTAACTTCACGTACACTGGTACGTGCAGAGGAAGACGGTAAGGAGAAGTGAGTACTTGGTTAAAGTAAAAACTAGAAGTGTATTTATAATAGTTAATGTCTGCAATAAATAAACTACTGTTTATCCTCATCTAACTATGTCTGAATACAAATGTGTAAATCAACTATCTGCTCATCACTCATTGCGTGCGTCTGTCGTGGCGCGTCTTCGTTGGTTGATATAATGGCCTTTATCAACCAATTAGGAACTACTCGTAAGTGCTACAGAATATTTGTCCTTATGACAATATTCTGTGAATATAACTCTTATAGCTACATTCTATTAACAATTTCTAATAAATTGTTATGTAACGGTTCACCCCGTTACATCACCCCCCCCCTAACCATCAGTCACTTTAGTGACTGATTGACTCAATGGATACTCGTCCCAAATCATTTGGGACAGGGCTTGCACTTGTTGGTCTGAGTCCACACTCCATCAGTTTCATCGCATGGTTAACAAGTCCATGCGATGCGCGAACAAGGCCGCCGAGAGCGCGTCTGCACGTCTCTGTGCGGACGCCGAAGCAGAAACAACAGCAACTGATGTCTCATCGGTTGCTGAAGCGACCCAGCCTGTGTCACTTGGTGATGCACGCGCTGGTCATGAAGACACTCGTGTCTTCACAGAGTACGAGCTCGGTGTCTCGTACTCTCCTGATACGGATGATGGATCCGTATCGACGGCGATTGAATCTAAGCCGCCTGCCAAGCGTGGCATGGACGATGCTTTGCGTCGCAGCATCTTTGGTTCATCTGATTCATCAGATGAACCATCGCCGAAGCGAAGGCGCTCGAGGTCGCGAGACTCGGGCGCTAATAGTGGTGTCGGTTCTCCTATGGACACCACTTCACAGCGAGGTGCCAGTACTTTTGTCAGCACATCGCAGGAAGAGCGGGACCGCAATGTCTTGCGTCTCGCTCCCGAGAAGAAGGCATGGATGCCTCCTAAATCTGTCATGGATCACTTGTCGGCGACGACGAGTGATCGTTATCGAACACGATTGTTCGATTCGTCAAGGATCCATCACCTTGACCCCAGCGCGAAAAACTATCGCGCTGAACATGAATTCTTCATCGATGCTTTCTTTAGACATCGATGGTACAGTGGGAATCACAAACGTGATGGTCCCTCACTACTTCAAGCGTGGAACGCCTACATCCATAACCTCGAGGATGTAGGTCGTGACGCTTGGAACGACAAACTTATCAAAGCTCGTGATAAGTTTGAAAAGCGAACCCCGACAGGTGCACGCTACAAGCTGCATTGTCTGTCAAGGGAGAAAGGATTACCCTGCCTCTCATGGGGAGACTCGTGCCCATGTTGTGTGAACAACTCTGCACGAGCACCTAAGGAGGCTTACCTCCTTACCAGCCCGTGGTGGCGCGTACGTGTCTCTACTGAGATGTACGAAGGGATTGACAACCTGAAACCCTTTACGACCGTGCCGGGAAGACTTTCTCCGGCGGTCCTTCTGCGGCACAGGATGTGCCGCGTCGTACTGCTCGACCAGACCCAGAACGTCAATCATCAGTTGGGAGCGGGGCTCCCAAGAATCCCAGGACGGGGGATAGCCGCGCCATCGGACGAGATAACTCGTCCGACGTCCGTTCACGTCGTGGTGGTTTAACAGCCGCTCACTCAGATAGCGCTGGCCACCGCGAGAGTCCTCTAATGGAGGTGGAGGAGGAGGAAAGACGCTCTCCACACGATCATGTGGATCGGTGTGTTCCCGAGAGCTCTTTGATCGCGTAACGCAAGGGTTACGCGACGATCTCGAACATGAGCGGAATAGGCGTCTCCAAATGGCGGACACTGCCTCGAAGCATCGAGCTGAGTTTGCCTTTGCTCAGCTTGAGAACGAGAGATCTCTGACATCTCTTCGTGACGAGCTAAGGGTAGCTCGTGGGATTGTTGATCGGTCTCGGGCTGAGATAACTGCTCTTCAGACCCTTGTTGATGCCCACCATCGGGAGCACAAGGCTCTCTGCGAGATGCTTGAGCGCAAGGGCGTTCTTCATCGGAAGAAGCAGCGCACTGATGGTACGGCTTAAGCCGACCAACGTAAAACGTGGGATGCGTTCGCATCTTACGTGGGAACTCGATCGTGTATGCATTGCCTAGGCGGTGCAATACACGAAAAGGGCCGATGTACTTGGGTAGTAGTTTAATGCTACCCAAGTTAGTCACTACATGTTTTGGTAGATTAACCGTAGACAGTAGGACTAAGTCACCTTTATTAAATAAAAGGGTGTTTTCCCTTCCATTCTTATCAGCGTTTTGCTTTTGCTTATCCACCGCTTCGGCGATGGAGTCTTGCACAAAACGGACTACCGTTTCACGAGCCAGTATGAACTCATCTGATGACTCGTTAGCTTCAGTGCGCTGTGAGCGCACTGCAGCAACATCAACCTTTTCTTCAGTGAGGGCTTCCGCACTCTCACTGGGATCATCTTCTTCAGTGAGGGCTTCCGCACTCTCACTGGCATCATCTTCTTCAATATCGATGTTATCGATATCGGCATCAAACGCAATGACTTCTTCGTCAGAGCGTGACGAGCGTGAACCAAATCGGTTTTTGCTCGCGCGAGTCCCTCCCCCCCTTAAACCAGAGCTACACTCTAGTAAGGTGGGTACACGCGGATGGCGCAAGCCATTCACGTGAAACGGTGTATGTGTCGTGGACGCATGCACCGAGTTGTTGATGGCAAACTCTACCATTGGCAAAAACTCACTCCAACTCTTAAAGGAGTGTACGTATCCTCGAAGTATCTCTTCAAGGACACGATTGGCACGTTCCGTCTGACCATCTAACTCTGGATGATCAGATGTTGACATCTTCAAGCGCGTTCCGAGTGATTTGAACACGGAACGCCAGAAATCAGCAGTGAATCGCGGATCTCTGTCTGATACGAGTTCACGGGGCAACCCATAAAGTCGAAGGATGGTGTCAATAAAGACACAAGCACAGCCACTTGCCGTGATTGTCTCTGGTACAGCCACAAGGTGTACCATTTTGCTGAATCTGTCAACAAATACGAGAATACCCGTATTCCCGCGTGCGTCTTTAGGTAACCCGAAGACGAAATCCATTGAGATGGATTCCCAGCACTCAGCCGGAACCGGTAGAGGCTGTAATCGTGCACGCAGTGAAGGAATTGACTTCACTCGTTGGCAGACTTCGCATGCGCGAACATACTTTCGCACAAACTGATACTGGCGGGGCCAGTAAAAGTCTTGACTCACCGTGAGATTTGTTTTCTCACGGCCACGATGTCTTTTATAGGAGCATCGTGATACTCGAAAATGATTCGCAAAAGCAGATCAGTATCATCTGGAATGACATCAAGTGGTGTGTCACCAGAAACGGCTGTATAATACAGTAAACCGTTACGAGTAGTGTATCGATCTGATGCAGATCGATACGCAGACGACAATCGTTTCAACGATTCTCGGGATGGTTGGGAGAGATGTGTCAACAACTTCACTATCTCACCATCTTGGGCGTATGCCCGCCTCACATCATCATACAACGTTGTAGATGGGACTGAGGACGTCATAACCGCAACAGTGACTGTCTCACTGTTGGGTTTCGCGACTGTTTCAAAGTCGGGACGACGTGAGAGTGCATCAGCGACGACATTGAGTCGTCCTGGTTTGTACTCGACCGTAAAGTTGTATTCGCAAAGAATGACAACCACCGCGCCATTCGTTGTAAAAGGTGCGGGCTGTTCACTGCCGTGCGTAACGACACATGGTCAGTGTAAACAATGAAGAGTCTATCTTTTAATAGATAGACTCTGAACTTCGCGAGTGCATACTTCATGGCAAGGAGTTCCTTGTCATGCACTGGATAGTTCCACTCAGCTGGTTGCAGCTGACGCGACTGATAGCAGACGACGCGTTCAACGCCTTCAAGATCGTACTGCATTAATGCACAGCCGATTGCGAAATCGCTGGCATCACAGACCACATGAAATGGCCTGTCCTGATCGGCTATTGCTAGGACTGGGGGATTGTATCAAGCTCTGCTTGATACCATCAAAGGAGCGCTGACATTCAGCGTTCCATAACCACCTCTCATTCTTTTTCAACAAACGAGAGAGGTGCACAGTCATCTCGGCGTAATTGCGTGAATACTTATGCAAATACGCCGCTAGGCCAAGGAATTTTCGAAGACCTTTGACATCAACCGGCACAGGCCAGTCGGTGATCGCCTTGATCTTTTTGGGATCAGGACGTACACCGTTTTTACCAACGATGCACCCAAGAAGTAGTATTTCGCTTGCTGCAAATATACAATTCTTGAGGTTGGCATACAATTGATGCTTTCGCATGATTGTAAGAACCTGTCGGACGTGGTACCTGTGAACCTCAACATCCGACTTTCCATCCATAGCCCGACTATGGATGAGTACGTCATCGAAATAACTCGGTGCGAATTCTCGTACTGGTCTCAACAGATGTGATACACATATGTTGAACGTGGCAGGGGCATTACTGAGCCCTTGTGGCATTACTAGCCATTCCCAGAGCATGCCGCTAGGCGTGCTAACTGCAGTATAGGGTATATCCCGTTCCCGCATAAGGATTTGATAGAAGCCATCCATCAAATCCATGGACGAAAAGATGGTACTCTTTGACATACCATCAATGATTACGTCCTTCCTCGGTATCGGCGTCTGAGCCGGTACCGTTGCAGCATTCAACTTGTTAAATGCATGCACTATCCGCCACCCTCCTGTTGCTTTTCGCACACAGAAGGTCGGAGAGCTATGTGGGGAAGTTGATTCCCCTCACATGGCCCGCAGCTAAACGATCGGCAAAGAACTTGTCGATCGCAAGTACTTGTTCACGAGGCAGTGGCCACTGCTTCATGACACAGTACTTCGAGCCTGGTTTAAGCTCGACCTCGTGTCGAATACCTTTATCCTTCGGTAATTCGCACGGAACAGTTTCAGGGAATACATCCTTGAATTCAACCAAATCTTCATAGAGAGGATTTTTCTTGAGCGATTCCCATGATTGGGAGTCATATCGCTCAATTCGTGTCTTTTCATCTAGGACACTCTCGTCCATAGATGAACTACTGAGAACTCTCTCGTTCTCAGTGAACACTGTTGCTGACCTTATGTCGGCTACACACTCGTCTTCAGCGACGAGTATGCAGATCTGCTTGACTTTGCCACTACGCAGATCACGCAAGAATCTTTTATGTTCGAGCGTTGGCAACTGAGTGATCTCCGAAGTTAACTTCGGAGGCGCAATCAGATCAAGTGTATAAGCGCCTACACTTGATCCGTTATTGACTATGACATTTAATGTCTCTGTCATTTCCTGGGGACTTATTCCCTCAGGCCTCGCAGGACTTACTCCTTCGGCTTCCCGGGGACTTATTCCCGCGGGTTTCGGGGAACTTATTTCCGCCGTGTTTGTAATCTTGGGACTTATTCCCTTTACTTCCTCTAGCTGGGGTTGCGCAACCACAGCGAGATCCTCTACGAAAAACTCTCCAGTCGATCTAGGATTATCGTTTCGCTTAACCTGAGCGATCGATTGTTTCTCTTCTAGATGTTCCCCGCTAGGGATACATCTTTGTCCCAGTCCACCCGACTTATTCGAGTGGTGGACCTTCGGCGCAGCCTGTGTTTCCTCACAGCCGCCGGAACTTTGCTCCGAAGTGTAACCGTTTGTTACACTAAGGTTTTGTGCAGTCGTACTAACGACCGTACCACAAGCGAGGCCATCGCACTCACTCGTAGTACATCCAAACGCTTGTGGACGCTCCAAAACGTTCATCAGATGGTCATCTGATGAACAAGCGGCAGGCATCGTTACTGTTCGATGTTGCCAGTTTACCCGTGGTTCGTACCTTCTGAGCCACGGTATTCCAAGGATGACATCAAATTTGTCATCCAAATCCAATACGATAAAGTCATCATCATATTGGGTATCTTCTAGCGTATAGTGAATCTTCACTATACGCTTCATGACGGTTACGGATGCGCCTGTTGCAAGACGTACCGTCATCCTCGTAGGAGGTGTGTCACATTCACTGAATTTGAAGTGACCATCTTCTAGCGATTGGCGTCGCACAAAATTGTTGGACGCCCCACAATCGACTAGAGCTCGAAGGGACAACTTATTCGTCACTTCGAGTTTCAAGGTAATGAGTGAGACCTCATTACCTAGAGCAGCAACGCACAAGGTTTGTGTGTTGGGAGCAACCTTCATCAAGAGGCCTACAAATTCTCTTGACGTTGCTGGATCAGTAGGGTGCTCCGCACCTACTGATCCTGTCCTTTTTTTGACGGTCCATCCCGTTGTTGCGTCTTTGCACCAACAGCGGACCCGCGTCCCTGCCCCTTTCTCATGGGTGGACGGTCACTACGCCCAGTGTTGCGAGACACTGGACGAGGGGCACTACACTCGTAAGCGTAGTGTCCTTTCTTTTGACATCTGTTGCATCTCTGCAACTTCTTGTAGCCTGTAGAGCGAGCCTTCTCGCTCTCTACATAACAGAGTTCCATCGGCTCTGGACCTCCGTTGTCATATCGTCTCGGTTGACGATATGATGTCGAGCTGGCGCGAGCCTGTCTCAGACTGAAGTCTTCCTGCTCCGCAATTGAAATGGCTTGTTCTAGTGAATCTAGTTCAAGCCGGAACAGGTGAGTCTTGACGGGACCATCCGCAAGACCCTGCATGAACACCGAAACCAACGTGTGTTCATCCACCGGATTGGAACTTATACAACTCGTGAGATGTCGTATATGTTGCGCGTAAGCGTGCACATCACGCTTACCCTGCTTGAGCTTCAAGAGTTCGGTTCGAGCTCTGAACTCAGCTCTAGGCGGTTCAAACGTTTGTCTGAGCCGCGACTTGAAGACTTCCAACGACCCAAACGCATATGGGTCGTGCAACTTGAGCCCCAGTGCCCAAGTCTTGGCACGTCCTGCCAGATTTGATTGGGCAAATGCAACTTGCATATCCCCGTCGTCGATGCGACGCGCCCTTATGGCGTCATCCAATTCGACGAACCATCTCAAGAGGGAGTCTTCTTCGACCCCCTATACTTTGAGATGTCAATCTTCAAAGTCTCGGGCCGACGCGAGTGCATCGACCCGCCAGCAGCAGCCTGCTGCTGTCTCAACAGTTCAAACTGTTGAGCACCTTGTTCTCTCAACAACTCTGCTTGTTGAGAACCTTGTTGGTGAAGCAAGGCTACTTTCTCGCGTTCTGCGTCAAGTTCATTTTGAATGAACTTGGCGATAGTAGCATGTTGGGCATCTCTATTGAGAGCCTCTAGCATGACGCTAACAGCATGGATGCCCATGGTCGAACCCATTCGTTCAACCGCATCCCATTCGACATCGCTCAAATGGGAGTAGCCGTCACGCGTAGCGTGAAAGCTTTGGTCATCTTCATCATCCAACATATTCATGTTGGATGTGAACGTGGTCCTTGGACGGACTACGAAGTGCTACCAGGTGTAACGGGGCACCCTGAAGCTTGTACTGGTGACAGTACAAGCTACTTATTCTGATGACAGAATAAGGCGGTGCCTCGTAACTTCACGTACACTCGTACGTGCAGAGGAAGACGGTAAGAAGAAGCGAGTACTCGGTTAGAGTAAAAAGGTAGAACTGTATTTATAATAGTTAATGTCTGCAATAAATCACTATTTATCTTCATCTAACTATGTCTAAATACAAATGTGTAAATCAGTTATCTGCTCACCACTCATTGCGTGCGTCTGTCGTGGCGCGTCTTCGTTGGTTGATATAATGGCCTATATCAACCAATTAGGAACTACTTGGAAGTGCTACAGAATATTGTCCTTATGACAATATTCTGAGAATATAACTCTTATAGTTATATTCTATTAACAATTTCTTATAAATTGTTATGTAACGATTCACCCCGTTACATCACCACTCATTGCGTGCGTCCGTCGTGGCGCGTCTTCGTTGGTTGATATAATGGCCTATATCAACCAATTAGGAACTACTCGTAAGTTCTACAGAATATTTGTCCTTATGACAATATTCTGAGAATATAACTCTTATAGTTATATTCTATTAACAATTTCTTATAAATTGTAATGTAACGATTCACCCCGTTACACCTGGGCTACTGAGAGCCTGTTACATGTTACGTTTGCAGTTCACTTCAATGATTTGTTGTCTCCTCTCTGCGACACGTCAACTTTACATTGGCTATCCATAGTAGCCACCTATTTGCGACAATCAGCTTCGCAGACCGTTCCATGCGACGCCACCATATGCAAAAAGCGTGTTCACTCCACATGGGCAACGTCATATGGGGCCCGGAATATTCGGGTCAAACATCTGGGCTACTGAGAGCCTGTTACATTTCCTTGAGCGGTTCACTTCAATGATTTGTAGTCTCCTCTTTGCGACTCGTCGACTTTACATAGGCTATCCATTGTAGCCACCTTTCTGCGACAATCAGCTTCGCAGAACGTTCCATGCGACGCCACCATATGCAAAAAGCGTGTTCACTCCACATGGGCAACGTCATATGGGGCCCGGAATATTCGGGTCAAACATCTGGGCTACTGAGAGCCTGTTACACGGTACTTGAGCGGTTCACTTCAATGATTTGTAGTCTCCTCTTTGTGATTCAACGACTTTACATAGGCTATCCATTGTAGCCACCTTTTTGCGACAATCAGCTTCGCAGAACGTTCCGTGCGACTCCAAGATAGCACACACTTTACATGGGGTGTCCGCCGTAGCCAGCTCTTTCCAATTCCACGAATTGCAAAGAGCGTGCTATGCTCTACGCACTGATGATCCATGGCTGTGTTCGGCTCCCTGTTCTATACGTTTCCGAGATGCGAGACATGCTGCTTGCTGAATTCCTAGAAAACATGCTATATCCGCCACCTTTTTTGACGCGCTCTTTGCAACTCATGGCAGTGCAGCAACGTGCTGCATTTGTGTTCTGTATAGTCCGGTGTTTGTAGCACGCTCTTCACTGTTCGTGGAGTCGTGAGGGGTGTGCTGGCACATTCTAGATGCGGAGTCCCTATAGTAGTCAATCAAATAGATGGAGAGGGGTTACTTTCCTGAAGCAATAAAGCTGCTGTTCATTGTGCAATTCTTCCGCTTCCAGACACAGCGACAGACAACCATGAAGACAAGTGCCTTCCTGTGTGCCACCCTGCTCACGGCCTTGCCCCTAGCGAAGTCGTTTCAATGTGTAGTGGTCCGTGCTCCTCACAACCACATACAACCGTATCCTGAGGCAAAGAATACGTCCAAGTCCGCGGGGGCCGCCCTACGATACCAACCATCGCTCCACATTTCTCACGGATGTGACGCGTATGCCGCGGTGGATGCTCAGGGAAGAACCAGCCATGGTCTCAAGGCGACGGGGGATGATGATGGCGACTGCGGGCAACCTTTTCTGGGCGGTCAAGTCTATGCGCGTGTCGGGAAGGAGGGGGGTCAAATTGGTATCGTCTACGCGTGGTTCTTCCCGAAAGACTCGGTCAGGGGCACAGTTGGCCATCGTTACGACTGGGAGTGGGCGACCATTTGGCTCAACGACCTTGACGACGATGAGTCGGAAATCCTGGGGGTGACGACGATGGGCAGAGAAGGGCCGAAGAGAACGGACGAACTGAAATCTGAAAACCGGGTCGGGGACACGGTCAGACTCGATTACAGAGACCACGGCGACAGGCACTACATCGCGTTGTCCGGAAACGATGGCGGATTTCAACCCTTGATCCTGTGGAACCAGATGACCAAAGCGTCTCGATGCGCGCTCAACAATGCTGAATGGAACAAACACAGGCTGATGCCCCTGGCCGATTCCGTTTTCCGTTCGACATTGCGTTCTGCTTTCGGGAAGAGACCACGCAAAATCAAAGAAGGCAGCGAAGACAGTGAAGACAGCAAGGACAGTGAAGGCAGCGAGGACAGTGAAGGCAGCGAGGACAGTTTCGGCGACAGTTTCGGCGACAGTTTCGGCGACAGTTTCGAGGACAGTTTTAAGGACATTGACTATTGATCCATCGAAGTGAGCCTTTGCTGCACATGTCAATCTTCACCTGGCGTCTGCGCTTCTGCTACGAACGTTTCGTTGCCCGTTTAACGCTGCAACTGTATTGTAGACAGGATAGCGCTGACTGCATATCGTTCGCATTTCGAATTTGCATGACTGCATATCGTTCGCATTTCAAATTTACGATTTTTTTTTTCATCTGAGACGTTATGACTCCTTTTGAACGGTCGTGGGCGGTGATGACAGTGATCTATAACGTGAAAATAGTACATAGCAAGGAAGTCCATTGAACTATGCGAGGCGAGCTCAAGAACATGTGCGCTATACTATCGGGTTGTACTTAGTCGCATTTATTGATTTGTCTTCTAGATGCAGAGTTTGTGCATATCATGAGTCCTACTACGATCCTCACGAAAATCAATAGATATGGACCAGATCTGTCGCGGTGCGAAGAATGCACATGCGTTGACGTGTATTCCTCGCACCGCGACAGATCTGCTGAAGCAAGAGTCTCTGCCATTGTTTAAACTCCTACAGTTATTCATCCGTCTTACTCCTTGCCAAACGCCGACTCGTCGATCTGCACCAATGAAGCTCAAGTTGAAATCGTTAGTATTTCAACATTATTAAATGATGCAGTGGCAGCAGCTACGGCGTACAACCTTTTTAACCTCAAAAGGATTAATGATAATACAGTCGAGCCAAAGCAAGCAAGTATTTGACAATTTTTTTTTAAAGACATAATTATTTCGGATATATTTATAATCTTCGTTTTAATGTGGGAGCAGCTTACAAGCCTTTAGTTTTCGGTAATGAGCCTACACCCCATACATTAAAGAAGTCACTGGATTTATAAGACCATAAAATTCCAAACTGTTTGGTTTTACCTTTTAAATAAAGTCCATTTTTCTCATTTCGACTACTGTATGTACCTCTAACCTCCCTTATTAAATGTAACATGGAAGGCCTCGACCAGAAAGATCACAGGAGAGCTGTTTTCTTCTATAGAAGAAGTCGGTCAGTAACGGGGTAGCCCGTTACATGATATTGACACCAAACGGTTTCAATATTAAGATTGTCTGTCGTGACAATCTTCTGCCAATACTGTCTGAGATAGGTAGTATTGAAGAAATGTTATCCCTCAGGATAATATCTAAGCGCTGCTCAAAGATTAATTTATAAAAGTCAATCGACCAAGATTACTACCAATCACCGCTAGACGCGCGCAATGAGTGGTGAGCAGGTTGTCGTCATACGAAAATGTGGATTGATATAGTTAGATAAAGATTAAAGTGATAGTGATAGTTTAACTCTACGTAGTACATCTCTCTTTTCATCTTTACTCAAACGAGCCGTTTGAGTAGAATAGCTTCCTCTGCACGTACAAGTGTACGTGAAGTTTCGTGGCACCCCAAGCATAGAAGGCCCCGTTACAGTCAGGCGCTTAACGAGGTGACCTGTGTTCGTTAGCCATCGAGCTAGGCAGAGATAAGTTGTCGACAGCACTGTGGTAAAAGGGATCTGACATTGTTGGTTAGATAGCTTTTTTCATTCTGCTTCTCTCTTATCCACTCATTATAATGTTCTACATTGATCTTAGTTTTCATCTGCTTCTTCAACTTGTCCAAAATTAGCGGACTGTCAACTTTAACTTCTAACAATATGCCGGAAGGCTAAGTCACAACAAGTATTCGGAAAACAAAGGGTGGTAACAGTAAAGACAGTAAAACAATAGGAGTGAGCATGCAATTTTCAAGCAGTGTAACCGGGTAAGCCCGTTATATAAAAATGATACAAATATATCGATCCTGAATCTTATCTATTTTAAATAATTTTCGATCAACATTACCCGCCAAGAGGTTGTGTCGCGGAATATAACCCCCCAAGGTAAAATACTGGGGTGCTCCACTTTTGGTTGTTGTAGTGTCAACGTCAACCAAATTATTTACTATTCGCTACGGAACGCGCGCAATCGGTGGTGAGCGAAAAACCACCATAAGAGATTGTCGTTTAATATTGTTAAATCAAGAGAAAGGTAACTTATTTAAGTAACTAGTAATATTGAATACAGTCCTACTTTCCCCTAAACAGACCTCTTCGTTGTGTTTACTTCGCTGCACTTTCTCACACCTCGTGTACGTGACGTAAAGAGCACGTAGCCTTTGTTTAGGTACCACAAGGCTTTCCAGTCATCTGGTAAGGGAGTGCCCCGTTACATGCAGGGCTATGCACAACAATGCGATTCATTCAATAAGTTATTTTATAGCAATTTAGGAAATTTGAGTGTGAGTAGCTCACAAAAGGTGTTTTGTCTTTTTATGATCGTCTAAAGACACGTTAATATACCATATGGTACGAATACGTTTGAAATAAAAACGAAGTGCCGTCGTCGGAGCTTTTTGGGGTACTCGTCTTAATGGTAAGAGAGACGTAGCGTAGGGCAAGATGGCGTTTATCTTAAATAAGCCGGTGCGAGTCTATGTCTCGAGTGATGTCACCTGTATTAGGGGCTGCTCAATGCAGAGCTGCGAATTTGACTAGCTCAGTATCGACTGTAAAATTTTTGAAATTAGAAGCATAAAAGCAAATCAAACAATTTGATAACTTTGGGGTTTAAAATGTACAACTTGACTTATGAATGGGGTAAAGGATGATCCGCGAAACTGAAGGCTCAATAGAGGCTTCATTATATTTTGGAAGAGCTATACAAATACATATAATCACAAATGAAATTGTCGGGTTATCTTAATTTTTTCTCAGTTTTAATCCCTTATTCGTGTCAAATAAACACATCTGAAAGTAAAATCTATTTAGTCAAATCAAGTGGACATCTACCCTGTTCTCGATTCAAACACCCTCGCAAACTCAATCAAATTAATTCGTTCTGATGGTCATCGACCGGTAAAGTAGCGGCCACCTTTTGCTGCTTATACCGTTGATGGTGGCGATAGCGCAACTATCACGGCAAGTTTGCTAAGCCTAAATTGTATGTTTGTAGCACATAAATTGCATCTACATTTAAGAAATTTTGGACTCCAATCACCACTCTGCAAATAAATCGGACGCAATGGCTATTCTTGTGCAACCAGAAAACGAATAAGCCAACAGGGAGAAAAAACGTATACGAAGACCACTTGCAGCTAGACAAATCGCACTAATCCAAAACCTAATTAACAGCAGATGAAGCAAAAAGAAGGTCAGAACGAAAGAGGGTTGTTAGACGAAATGAAAAAGGACAGTGCTGATGAAAGCGACGGAGGACATAAATTGAGTCAAGATTCTGGCCCAAAAGCAGTCTCAACGTAAATTATAAAGACAAAAAGAAGAATGTAAAAGAGCCGAATAAATACCACACAATGTTAAAAATTTTGGATGATAATCTCATCAATATTTAGATCGCTGAGCGAAATTGTCATTAAAAATTACTCCATTACATAATTAACTAAACGGGATGATCCTGTTACACTCAATTTACCCTCTACACTTTTTAATTAGAATCTTAGCATCAAGATAAACAACAACAATCACGAATATCACCATAAGGGGTATCACTCCGAAGTATTCACCGATTGGCTGATATGGGCCATCGTTCCAGCCAGCCCTGGAGGTCAAATCCTCGATGGAAGCTTGCAATGAGCGTTGAGCAAGACTTTGATATCCTTTTTTGTAGATCCATGTTATTAAGCTAGGACAAAAGCATAGGTGAAGAAATCAGGACTTAATTATAATTAACGCAGTTTTCCTTTTACCAGCGACTTGTCAGTTCCTAATTGCTTTCCCGTCCTATGCGTAATTTACAAAGGTAGCGATGCTCCGCTCACTCTGCTTTCGGTGAGAGTAGCTTCACTCTGGTAGTCCAGTGTGTTGCTCCGGTGCCCCATTTTACGTTGGACTTCCGCACATAACTCAGTCAAAAAGTATCCTTTCATTGATATTTCAATGTTCATCGTGCGAAGGACCCAAGAGTAATGATAACGTTTCCCACTCAGGTAACGTGAACCTCGTCCTAAAGAGACGAGGTGTGACACATTGCACGATAGGCCGTGAGCAAGTTACGAAATCGCATCACTTTCGTACTAAAACAAGCTGGACCTGATGCTGTGGGCGGATGTCTTCCTATGCACGACTTGAAGTTAATACACACTTGTTACTTTTACTATGCTTCCATCAAGATCCTAACGTACTTTATAATTTATTAAAAATGATGAAAATTGTAGCTTACATTGACAAACTAATATCGAGAACTGATTTATTCTCACTCATTTCCTTGGATCACACCCTTCGCCAAAATTAGAGTCGCTTGACAAATATCTATATGTATCCTGATAAACTCGATATCCGCACCCTCCGACAACTTTTAACACCTCTCTTAGTACTTTTTCGTTGGGCAAACAACATTTTTCAAACTTTCTTGGATTTAGGGGCACTTGCTAAGCGGCAGGGTTCATATATTTAATTCGTCTGGGTCAATTTAGCCAATATGTAAATGTAACGGGAATCGATTTCTTGAACTGACACCGTACAGCTTGTTACTATGAACGCAGGGTGAGCAGGTAATTTGCAATATAACGTCCGCACAACGTGCAGAGGAGAGGGTTTGATACGAGTTAAGGGTAAAAGTAGTTCTGAACTTATTATAGGCGATATTTCGTTGCTATAAATCCTATTTAGTCTTCATTTAATTTTGCCTTAATACAAACCCGTGTTGTAATTTTCTGCTCACCACAAAGTGTATACTTCTGTCTTGGCTCAGCTTTATTAATTGGTATTATCGAAATAGCTAAACGATGAACAGTGTATTATTTTTTTACTTCTTGCAACCTAGTATTACTCGTCAAGCCAACAAATATTATTGTGAGAAAGTAACGTTAGTTCTAACTAAAAATTCAAATTTGATCTCTATCTTTCTAACTCGTCTGCTGCTTCTGCCGCTCGGCCTGTGTCAGTTGCTGTTTTAGGCTCATGTGATGATGTACCGCGTATCATTGAAAATTATCAGCTTTAGC